CCCAGGGCTCAGCTAGTCTGTCAGCCCACTTGGGGGCAGGGCAAAGACTTGAACCTAGAGCTCCAAAGTCTTGGCAAGTGCACTGAACACTGGGATGCCCTGAGCAGTGCCCTCACTGCAAGGCTTTCCCTCTGCAAGGCCCTCCTTCCTCTCATCCGGACTGTGTTCAAAGTAAGCTGCCTGCAAGCTTCAAGGGATTTTCTTGCCTGCATGTAGCTTTATGGAACAGCACAAATAATTTAATATGGGTCTTCATGCTGCCCAGACTCTCAGAGGTACTGAGGGGCCTACACTCGATTTCAACAAGAATTCGGCACCTCCGTATCTCTGAGGATCTAGCCTTTGCTGTTGAGCGTAGTGTGTGCTATTTGTAATTCTACTGGCTTCGCTATCACAGCAGCAACGACTTGCTCTGAAAGCTCTGAAAGTTACCATTGTACTAAACCCACAAGCCCTCTTCAAACATGCTGTGAGTGGAACATGCCATCCATTGTCTGCATGACAGAGCAGCTTGTCCTCTAGTGTCATTACATTGACAACAGCCACCAAACTCACACAGTGAGTTATAGACAGGCCTGTCCTTCAAGGTCAGGAAAAGCTCACACCAGGTCAAGTAACCTCTCCGCTACAGAACTACCATTGTCCATCCCACAGAGTCCAGGCTGTGCTTAGCTGCAGGCTGAAAGTTAAGGAAACATCAGACTGCCCAGTTTAGCAAATAAGCTCTAGATGGATTGGCCAAGTGCCTATTTTTGGCTTATTTCACTTCTTACATTCAGGAGAATATATAAACATTTATATTTTAAAAACTCCCACAAGAGACCATGGCATTCCCATTAAGAAGCACATTCGGTGTTTTCCACAGTCAAACCAACTTACAAATATTAACGAATACAGAACACATCCTATTAGGGAGGTAAAAATATTTATTTAAGCCAATATTACAAAAGGAGAAACCGAGGCAGGGAAATTATGTGACTTTCCCTAAGGCTACAGAGGAAGCCAGGGTCAGAGGCATGAAGAGAACACCACAGTTCCCCATCCTATGCTCAGGTCACTTCCCATGAAGAGGGGAATCAGCTGGCTTCCTGCACTGTCCTCATTGCAAGTCTCAAGAGAGGGTGGGTACATGAAGAAGAGGGCCTACTGGATCTTCATCACCCCCCTATTTGAGGGGGAAGACTTGTTAGAAAAACAGAGGTCTTGATTTAGCAAGGCCCTTAAAATCTGCTTTAAAAACTAACTACACGAGTGACCCCAACCAAAGTCAAAAGGACTATTCCTGTGCTTAAAAATAAGCATGTGCTTAAATGCTTAGCTGAACGGGGGCCAAAGCTTATGCAAACATAATCACCGTAACTTGTCAGGAGGTGATGCAACCAACTTCTTAAATGTTATTTTCCTTTAAAATGCGCTATTTGGGGAAATTTCCTCAATGAGATTTTTTCATCCAGTGTTTTCCTACCTTTTTACAAGCTTATTCTGAGTCAACCTCTCTTTTCCCCTGTGCCCCCCATTCTCCCTCCTTCCCCCCTTCTAAAGCAAATCTTTAGAGATAAGGCAGCAAATGATAGCCGTTTTCTAAAAGGGTGTCATAAGGAGCAGGGAGAAAACTTGTTCATCTTGGCCGCTGAGGATAAAACAAGAAGCAATGGGCTAAAACTGCAGCAAGGGAGGTTTAGGTTGGACATCAGGAAAAGTTCCTAACTGTCAGGGTAGTCAAACACTGGAATAAATTGCCCAGGAAGGTTGTGGAATCCCCATCTCTGGAGATATTTAAGAGTAGGTTAGATAAATGTCTATCAGGGATGGTCTAGACAGTATTTGGTCCTGCCATGAGGGCAGGGGACTGGACTTGATGACCTCTCGAGGTCCCTTCCAGTCCTAGTATTCTATGATTCTAAATGAAGGGGGGGGGGGAGGGCGCAACATTTAAGATGCAAACTTTTGCATACTGCTGTAACAGAGCTAACTGTCTCCAAAATACAATGAAGAAATGTATGCCGGTGAAAATTAACCACACTCCCCTTCCTCTGGCCCCTGCAAGAGGTACTGTATGTTTTTAAAGAAATATTGATTTTACAGAAAAACATTATGTTTATTTATATCTATAGACATGGACTTGGTGAGATAAGAAGGCTGGGAGTCTAAGTGAGTTAGCCAGTGGATTCACCAGCAGAGGAAAGCAGGTGTTCAGGGCTAAGTTTTTTCCCCTCCTTAATTCGCAGGCACTATACAGGCAAGGTCCTACAACGGGAGGAGCATGGCAAACCCAACCCACTGTTAGTTTTCCTTCTGTCTGCATGTGATAGGCAGATTCTGGTGGCTTCCAGTCAGGCCCTGGATCTTGACTGGCTAGGGATGCAGCCAGAGAGTTCATTAAAAACATTAGACACAAGAGAGAGAAAGGAAAATATAGGTACCCTGCAAGCCAAAACAGGGAAAGAACTGGTTCAAGAATATTTAGATAAGTCGGATGTGATCAGATCAGCAAGCCCTGACAAAATTCATCCTAGTGTACTTGAGGAATTAGCTGATAATCTTGGAACTGCCAGGAATTATCTTCTGGAACTCATTAAGAATGGGTGAGGTCACAGATGACTGTTAAGGGGCAAACATAGTCCCGGTCTTTAAAAAAGGAAGGCACAGAGAATTACAGACCAGTCAGCCTAACTGTGATACTTGTAAAGACTCTGGAACAAATTATTAAATAGTCCATTTGTCCATACCTGGAAATAATTGAATTATAACCCACAAATCCTAGCAAACCAACCTAATTTCCTTCTTTCACAGGGCTATGGGTTAGCGGAGAGGGTGCAGGGGAAGCAGATGTAACCTATCTGGATTTTAGGAAAGTTGTTCACACAGTTCTACATGACATGCGTGTAAGCAAATGAGGGAAATATGATCTAGACCGAAGTGCCATATGGTGGGTGCAAAACTAATCGGAAGATCCTATTCAAAGCATAGCTATCAATGATTCACTGTCACATGATGGATCTGGTGGAGTCAGTCCAGGGTCCGGTACTATTCAATATTTTCATTAGCGATTTGACTAATGCAGGGGAGAGAGCACTTTTTAAAACTTGCAGAGGACACCAAGCTGGGAGCTGTCATAGTTGGATCATGGGCAGACAGACCTAGTCGCCACAGCTATAATCCATGCAGGGGACAGGAGTCAAGAGTTGACTTGATAGACCTAAGAGGAAAGGTTAAAAAACTAGGCATGTTTAGTTTTGAGAAAAGATGGGGGAGGAAGAGGTGAGAACCTGATAACAGTCTTCAGAATTTAAGGAGTGTTATGAAGAGGACTGTGTAAATCCGGAGTGAGCACTAATTTTTGGTGGGGGGCCACTCCAAGATTTTGGTAAGTGGTTAATGGACACACTTTTCTGTGGAGGGGATGCAGGGTCTCGGATGGAGGCTGGGTACAGAAGGGCGCACGGGGTAAGGCATTGGGGTGCAGGAGACGGTGTGGGGTCAGAGTGTGGTTGAAGAGGGGGTTGTGACCTGGGTAAGGGGAATGGAGTGCAGGGTCTGGGAGGCTGTTTGGGTGCAGGGGAGGATACTAGCCTGGGGAAGGGACATAGGAGGTGGGTACAGAGCCTGGGAGGGGGTTGTGACCTGGGCCAGAGGGATGCAGAAGGTTTGGATGGTGACCCGGGGGAGGGAGTTCGGGTATGGGAGGGGCAGGGGTGCCAAAGGCAGGCTGTGGGCCTCCCATGGCAGTGTGGGCTCCCTGCCTGCTGCAGCTCCAGACCACTTGAAAACACAGGCTGTTCCTTCCACGTGGCTCAGCTCCTCGTGGCTCTGCCCCCTCCCCGGCCTCTCTCTCAACTCCGATTGGCTTGCTGTTTCCAGACAATAGGAGCTGAGAAATTGGCTGAAGTCAGTTCTTATTGGCTGCTTGTTTCTGGCCAATAGGAGCAGAGCAGAGAAACACAGGGACTGCACTTTAAACCACAGCAGCTGTGCCTGAGGGTCCTGGCAGGGTAGTCTGGAGGACAGATCTAGTGGCTTGGTGGGCCGGATCTGGCCCCCGGGCCATATTTTGCCCAGCCTTGGTGTAAGCCTGCTAGAAGAAGGAACAGTAGTAATAGGCTTAATCTGCAGCAGGGGAAGTTTAGGTTAGACATTAGGAAAAATTTTCTGACTCTTAGGGCAGTGAAGCACTAGAAAAGGCCTCCATGGGGCTGTGGAGTCCCCATTATTACAGATTTAAGAACAGGTTGGACAAACACCTGTCAGGGACAGTCTAGAGCTCTTCAAATTAGTTACAACCCTGATGAATATAAAGATGTTTGTGAATGCCGTAGGGTTTATACTTCTCTCGCTACTCCTCAGTATCTATTGCCAACCCTTCCCTCATTGCTTCCTAATCCTAGCAGGATAAACCTGGATGTGAAAATCATTCACACTTCAAAAACCAAAAGTCATACACTGAACCCTCATTACATCACTTTCCAAACACTCTCTTAGGCATTATAATTACTGCCTCTCAGAGACCGGTTACTTATGGGTGTTCTGCCTTATTGAGCAGTGAGGATCCATTTCCTTGTCTGTTTTTAGCAGAGTCCTTCTAAGTATCACCAAAACGTAAAGAAAATCCGGGATAAAGTCAGGAAAGGATATAAAAATCAAACCTTTTTGAATAGCTACAATGGTTCTTGTAGCATTCCAGCCCCGACCTCATGCATTCTCACGTGTTCTACTAAATGCATTTGCCCCCACAAAATTATATATACAGGGAAGCTGTAATTCCATATCTGGGTTCAGGTGTCAGTGAAACTGCTCTGGTTGTGTTTCCAGTGTTTCTGTTATTAGAATCCCTCGAGAGGAAGTTACAGCATGCGCTCCAGTTCAGGGCATGTTATTCTTTACAGCTCACAAGTATCAGAACTAAGAATGACACAGTTAGAAAAGTCTCTCAATCCGCTAACAGAGCATAAATATCACCCAATAAACTAATTTCCTTGAAGGGAAAAAGATATTAACAATACCTTGAGAGAAGAATATTGCAGTTCTGAGCTCTCCGGCCATCTATTACCGAAAGCTCCTTAACTTTATGTCTGGAACTCAGTGTGTCATCAATGGCATCTTCTTTCTACAAAAAGCATGAGGAGAAAGTATGAAGAAGCCCAGCATATCTACATGTGAGCTCTCAGCACATACCAGTATCGTATACAACAGGTCTCCATTAATCATGAGTGTCATTAAGGCTTAGGAATAAAACCCGGAGCCCGTAACTGAAATGAAAAAAAAAATTATAAACCATGGCTTGCTTTGAAAGCCCTTAGGGAGAAATGTAAATATGTTTTCACAGAGGAAAGTTTGAGTATCCACAAACATGCCCACTCAGATGGATAAGTACAGCAAGGCTTTCCTAGCATGTGTATGTGAGAAATGATCATTAGATCCATCTCTTAAAATACTGTGTTCTGGATGGTCACACACACAGACTCAAGGTCACTTGAGTTGTTCGACTGCCATTCTAAACATCTGGAGTATCTACTCACACAATAATACTCAATACAAGGGGAAACAATAAAACCTACCAGGCTAATGAACACAACCTGCATTACACTTTAAGGGAGATTCCACTTTAAGGGATTTAAGAGCACAAGTCAACAGGGCTTGTTTCTAAATCCCTTGGGTGGTTTGGCAATCTCCCTCAAATGATTACAGTAGACTTCTGATAATTCGGAACCTATGGGACCTAGGTGGTGCCAGATTATCAGATATGCCGGACTATCAGGAGGTACTATAAACCGGTTATATATATATACACACTGTATACATTATATACTGTATATAAAGTGTTCTTAACCCTTTTTATTGTACATACTGTATACAGTATACTGTAATGTTTTAGTTTTTTTCAGCCTTTTTTACCCTTTTTGCTCAGTTCAGCTGCTGCCGCTGTTACCTTGTGACTCATTTTTTGCCCAAACTCGCTCACAATAGGCTCTTACCATTTTGATGCCAGACTATCAGGAGTGCCGGACTACTGGATGCTGGACTATTGGAGTTTTACTGTACACACAAAAATCGCAGTTGCACATGACTCAGAACGAAAATAAGAAACTTAGTAAACCTGACGTATGAGGAAGGGTTGGAATAACTGGGCAGTCCAAAATAACTCAGTAACCAGACCAAAAGGGTACTATCTAAGAACAGTTAAAAGGTGCTCTCGACAGATCCCCCTCTAGACTGCTGCATTTTGCAGACAAAGTGCTGAGTCGGCAAAATGCGGTGGCCATTTTTATGCAAATTAGACATGGGATATTTAAATCCCTGCCTCATTTGCAGTGTCGACCTGCCTAATCTGCATCCCTCTGCAGACAGAGGGATGCAGTCTAGACATACCCTTAGTTACTCCCCTTGTGGAGGTGGTTTACTAGAGTGCTGTAAGAGCTCTCTCCCAGCACCACTCCTATGGCAGCTCTTTAAAAACTTTCAGCATCACAGTGTTGACCCAACTCTGCATTGCTCTCTCCCAGCACCACTCCTATGGCAGCTTTTTAAAAACTTTCAGTGTCACAGTGTTGACCCAACTCTGCATCTGGGAACTTCCTCGGTGGGCTAATTTTGAGTGCTTTTGAAAAATCATATTCTTAGGAATAAAACACATTTTCAAAAACACTTTAGTGACTTGGAAACCTAAGTCCCATTTTCAAACAGATGTAAGCTCTTAGGAGTCAAACATCCATTGATAAATCAATACCTAAGTGCTTTTTAGGGGCAAATGGCTTAAGACCCATTTTAAAAGTTACACTTGATCTCAAACTCTTACACCCCAGGCAAGCCTGCAAGGACCTATCAAAAAGCACAGAGGTTTGGTATTATTGCTGTTCTTCCTCAGGTTAGCGAACAACTTACTAGGTTTTTTTTAACCCAGATTCTTGAATTTCTGTGTTATGTAGCTATTTTAAAAATTCTGATTAAAATATTAACAAATCCTTTACATTATTAAAATGCAATATCCATTAGCATTGCCTACTTCTTGATAAATGTGTTAAGCCTGCGTTAATTGCTCAAGCTGAGCATTAGCAAAATCATCACGCTAATAAGAATGTCAGATTTCAGCAGAAGCTCACTTACCTGTTTGCAGTTATTGTTCATAAAGAAGTCCTACAGCCATAGCAGAAGCATGGAAAAGGCAGTAAAAACACGTGCAATTCAGTGGCCACAGCAAAAGAAAAAAAAGAGTCAAAGCATAGTCAGAAAGAACGTATAATACAAAGGTATCGACTGCAAGAGAAGCACCTGGGGCGTACCAATTCAGACAATGGATAATGCAAATGGAAACGCACCAAGCAGTAAAGGAATGTAAATGAAAGGGCACTGAATGGGAAAAGCATGCAAATCAGTGACAGGCAGGGGAAGCATTGGTGCCTGCTGTTTCATCAATGAACCATGCAAACTCCCTCTAAAAAAGGGTGTTAAAGCAAAATAGTTTGGAAGGATTCTCTCAAATTCTTCTAAGAAATCAACCAGGGCTGCGCAACAGCATCAGTGCTCATTAAGCTAACATTTGGGGGGAGGAAGGGGAAGAAAGGGGAGACATGCTATTCCAATGCATTTGTGGGACTTTCAAGGAGTGAAATAACACATCAGCCCAGGGGAAAACAGTGCTTTGAAAGGAAAGACATTCTCCTTCCATATTTTGTAATAGCAAAACATTATCATTTGCCATGAACTTTCTTACAGAGAATGGGGAAAAGCCACAGGGGAACTAGGCAGCCTTGGCAGGACTAGAAAAATACCCTTCCCATACCCTGCCTAAACTTTGCCATTGTTCAGTTCCCCACAGAGCTGGTGGGTTTGGGCATGCCCCTGTAGCATCAATCACATTCCACCAGTTTGCAAATTTGCACAGCTGGGCTTTTATAATTAAATCACCAATGTGTGTTTTCCTTATTTGTATGCTAGGGTCACTGTGCATAGCCCAAAAGACCCCAGCAGACAGATGTGCAACATGGAGTAACATTCAACAGTGCAGAAATGTGTCTTTTTTAATCAAAATGACTCCGTTTTACTCCAAATCAAGTTACTAGACAATCGTGTTTCCTTTCTGGCTGTTACATGACAAAGCAATTGACAGCTTTGAGTTATTCTTTGCTATTAATCTCTAAACAGATTTCCATCCCCATAACAATTTGAAAGGAAGCCTGTTTTATGGAAGTCCTTGCTGGCTGGCCGGCTGCCAATCAGTTTAGTTCATGAATGGGACCATGAGGAGAAGTGGCTTTATAAACAATACCGGCAATTTTGGCCATTGATTAAACCAAACACCTTGTAATGAATCTGATTTTTAGCTTTTTCTTTCAATACTGCTGGTTTTTACCTTCAATAAAGATTCAAAATGAATTTTCAAAGCTTCCTGGAGTTTTGAAAGAAATTTAATCCAACAAGAAAAAAAAAAGCCAAAATACAAAGGAAGATCAGTTGAACAGCTCCCTGAATTCCACTGTCACAGCACGCTCAGCTGATATGCCGGAGTTCTTTCACAAACAGCAACACACTAAGCTTTATAAGGAACAGCTGCCAAAAACCGAGAGTTGTTACTATCAGGAGCAGAGCTATGATGCTCTAATACCACCTTGAAACACTGCTGGAACTAGCATGTTTCTGCTTCTATTGGGGACAGGACCTCTGTTTCCAGATCCTTCATTTCCTGGGTCATAGTTCCCTTGTTGCAGATTTCACATTTTTGTTCCTTCGTTGCAGATTTCACAGTAAAACTGCTACCCCAAGTTGAGCTTTCAGCTTTGGTGGGATCAGTATTCCCTCTACCCCCTCCAAATTTAGCACCTGCCTCAAAGTTTGCTTGGTACACAAAGAGATGAACTGGTGAGAAGGTGTCTGAGGAGTCGGGTCCCAATCCAGCACAGCATTTGTACATTCTTAACCTTACCACTGGGAATGGTCCTACTGACCCATGCATGAATCTGTATAGATCTGAAATGCATGTCTGCAGAGGTGTCTAGAACATAGGCAAGGGGAAGTGACTGGCACCAAACTAACACACAAGCTGCTCTAGTGCCTTTTATTATTATTATTCTTAGAAAACTCAAATGGGCCAATTCAGATTGATCCTACGTAGCTCTGCCTTGCAGAGCCAGCCCTCCCTAGATTCCCCCAAGACATTGCCAACTCCGGAAGGGCTTCTCAGGAGCATCATTTTGCACCAGTGAGCGGATCCCAAGCAGCTTCCCTAATGAGTCGGCACAATAGAGTCTCAACCCATCCAAAACATTTAAAAAAAAACATTCCCAGATTTAAAACCCCCATAATTCAATGAGCGCACAACTCAGCAAGGACAAAGGCAGTCCTAGGAGTGTTGTCATGATCTACAAGGAAGCATTGCAATGCTAGGACATTTTAAACCAATCCAAACACGTTAAGGTATGAAAATGCAATTACTGTCCCCAAACCACCTTCACTCCATCCTGTAGCAAGGTACTGATGGCGGAGATGCAAGTGAAAGGGAAACTGATTTATTTCTTTACAAATACTGCCTAGATAACCTGTCTGTCTCTTCTCCCCCCCCCCAAAAAAAAAAACCCCGCTTAATTCTAATCTTAAAATTTTCGCATGGGTCCCATCCTCTTACACTGGTACTCGAGAAAAGGATCCTTTCTCCATCCTTTGCTTTTTTAAAGGGGAACTTCCCTAGCTTCAGGGCCAGGGGCAGTCACTTAGCATCCAGGTCCACCCACCCTAACTGGGTCCGGAGCCCCCCCAAATCCAGAATGGGAGAGGCTGAGTTGTTCCAGGCAGGGGATGTGACTCATGGGTATGGGCGGGGCTAGCACTGGGGCTGGGGACCAGGGCAGCAGTGCATAGCACAAGCAGGAGGGGGACGCAGATGGCCAAGAGGATGGACGCAGAGCTGGGGCTAGGAGAGACAGCCGTAGCAAAAGCCTTCGCAGGGTCTCCCTCTGCCCTGTGGGCACACCCTGCATTTTGGGCACGCTAGGCAGCCTCATCTTCTGGGGCCAGCTACCCAATAAGGGCCAATAGGAGGGGGTAGTGGGAGGCAGATTCCCCATCCCTTCTGCCTCCTTCTCTGACCCACTCAGCCAAAAGTCAAAGCCCACCCACTTTTCCTGTCCTAGCTACGCCGCTGCTCAGGGCTAAACTCCCAGTCCAACAAAGCGCTACGGGACCTGCTCCATTCAGGGTTCTTCTGCCATTCCCATCATGGTGGTAGCCACAGACTCGGGGTGGGTGGGGTGGCAGGGAGAAAGGGGAGGAGAAAAAAAAAATCAGGCCGCTTTTTGACCAGGCCACAGCACCACTCACTCAAATGTGAACCTGGCCACCCCTACAGCATGACCAAAGGGCGCTCAGGCCAAATCTGAGTGGGAGGCAGCGTAAGCTGGTGAGCATGGGGATGTCAGAGGGGACAAGGATGGTCAGGCAGGGGGAGGAGGAATCTATGCCCTTGCACATGAGGGATGTTAAGTTGTGGTTGACTGGTGGTAGAAACCGTGATATATCTCAGCTCCTAGGCAGAGGTGTGGCCAGGCAGCTTTGTGGGACAGGGGGAACTATAGTGGTTGGGATGAAGGTAACACGCAGAGATTCAAGTGCCACTCAGCTGATTAACACAGCGTCCCCAGCTGGCAGCATTTGTTCTACTGATGGTGTTTATTCACACATGCCTCAGTGTACATCATAAAACCTATTCCTCACATGGAAGGAAAAGAGGGAACATTGATTAGGGGACCATGTGTCTGACAGGATGTGAACAACTAGTTGACTATCTGATAAGCAAATGATTATCGGATAGTCAACTAGTGCTTAACATCCTTATTGCACACCTCAGCAGTGCTCCATGGCTCCTGAGAGAGTTCATGCCACAAGCCTGGGTCAGCCCCCAAGAAAGCTCTGTCCCACTCACTTCGCTGAGATGCTGCACGTGCTTATAGGGAAGCACATGCTGAAGTGCTTTGCTGGCTGGAGTCCACATGCACATGCGGCTTTTGCCTCTCGGCATACAGTGCCGCTTACAGGGCAGGGCAGCTGAATTGCCTTCACTGGGAGATGAGACTCGCAGGGCACAACCTTCCGTTAGCCATGCCAAGGACAGGAGGAAATAGCTCGGTGGCCAGCAAGAAGAGTGGAGTGGAATACACGACAGCAATTCTACCGCCAGTTACAGTGAGGAGCCTGATGGTGCAAAAAGGACACTGAATTCAAGCGGGATGTCTGCACCATTTACTTGGGAGCACCCTTTACACATGGCAGTAAAGTTAGTGCTGCAGCCTACAAAACAGCTGTGTAAGGCCTGGATTCAAACAATGATGCACATAACTTCTCTGTGTGCATACTGCACCTTACACAATAGGCCCTTGTCCATGAATTGGCTGACAGGTATCACAAATACATAAATTAGCAACAGTGAAATAATAATGTCCTATTGATTTCAATGGGGGCAAGCTTAGCATATTCCTGAATCAGGGCTTTGAATGGGAATAGAATGTGTATTTTCCACCCTTGTATTTTAATGACATCTTCAGCAAAATGCCACAGAGGCTAGTGCTTGTCTGGTGTGTCATTTTGAATGGTCTGGGGGCAAAATACTGTGTATCCATCTGACTGAGCAGGATTGCAGAGGGGGGAAAAGAGAAGACCATGCATAGCATGTCAAAAACCAAAAAAGCCAGATAAATGCTGCAAGTGTGAAGAAACTGTTCATAATTCTTTTTCATGGGGATGGACAACGCACCTAGAGGTACACAGCCATATACCATCACCATGCCGAAATGGAATGGCCTTGCCTGTGTGTATTTCAGAGAGGGCAGCTTAAATACAGTACCAGGTATGAAGCAGGGTATTTACAAAGCCAGGATCTGGCGAGCTTCAGGCCGCATTGCAAAGTTCATATTCCCCCCCCCCCCCCCGGGCACTTGAAAGGGAAGAGAATTTGGCAAGGGAAGATGAAGGTTGAAAATAGGGAGCAATTGTTAGGAGATTTCAGCTTGAGTAGCCGGGTTGGCTGGGAGTAGAATATATTGAACTGCGCTGCTCCACTTTAGTTACGTTGGGAACAGAATGCTGATCTCCTGACTCCCAGCCCTGTGTTTGGCCAAACCACTGCTAACCCGTGGTCTGGCCTTTCCTGATGCTGCTGTGCAGCTCTGCTTAATAGCACATGAGGCATTATTATTCAACACTGCCACACAGCTGAGGTCCAAAACCTGCATTGTGACAAAAATGGTTTTATAAAAAATAGTACGTGCCCTGAAAAGTAGTCAGAGCTGGGGCTTGAAATGTGTCCCCTCCCAGTTCACAGCACTTCTTTGATCAGAGACTCCAATATAAGAGCCCTGTGGATGCAGACCAGAAAGTTCAGCTGATCCATGTAGGTTCCACTGCCTGATCAGAGTGATGTGCCAGAAACAGCTGAAGTGCTCGACTAATGGCAAAAAGCAATATTGAGGTTTAATAACCTTTTATCTGTAACAGTCAAAGCTGTGCTACCAGTTATAAGGATTTGTGTCCTTAAAAATTTGATAGAATCCCACCAAATATTGTTGAAATGTTTTAAGACAAACACATATACATGCAGACATGTATATACACACACGCAGAATGAAAGCATGCAATGCTCACAATGTTGAGAACACAATTTAACTGAAATATGCAAAGGATGCACCATGCTAGATCACTGGAGATCACTTACACACCCTGGCACTTCTGAGAGTCGCAAGCAACAGATTTCTCTCCTTTAAGAAAAGATACACCCTGTTCTGCTTTCCTGAGCTCCCCCAAACAATGCTTATTTAAATGCCTTTTGGCTTTACTAGGACAAATTCCTCATTCACCCAAAGTTTGCTTTGATGAATTCCTGACCCTCTCTCTCACTTGGCTCTCTTAAAGCCCCTCTCTAGAGCGATACACATTTCAACGCTCACCCATACCCATCTACTCAGGCTGAGCAGTTTGCTGTGATGTTATTCCAGGAGGTACATTTCTAGGCCAAAGATCTGGCAGCAACTGCTGCTTAGGAGTGCTGGGGAATGATTTTCTGCTCGTGTCTCCCAGCCTCTATGCACTCTGCTGCGGAGAGGTATTTAGAGCCTTTTAAACATCTTTGGTCCATGCTGCAGGCTTTATCTTTCGTTGCTATTGGCTGCTCTCCAAGCCAGACCATTGGCACAGTTACAGACTAACAGCTGCTTAAATCTGGAGGTTGTGTTCCTCCTGAGTTGTCTTCTCCAGAGCATTTGAAATATTCCTTCATACTGGCGCTACTGGCATTGATATGCACCTATTTGAGACTTCATCCAGCTGTACTGTGAGCTGAGTTATTTTTAACTCTCCGCCTTGTTAGAGTCTTGTATCTTATCTACCAGTGGATTAACTGACTCGTGCGGATAGCTAGGAGGGCAGACACAACCTACCCACTCTCTCTCTAGTTCTTGCTGCATTCCCATTTCTTATTTCCTTCTCACTTCTGCCACGTTATGCAGGCTTGTCTATAAATTCAAGAAAGAAACCCAACGGCACCTTAAGCAAACCTAAAGCAAATGGGGGGGGGGAATCACTTTTGTTTGTGACCTGTTTGCAAAATATACGCTCACTGAGCTTCCTTCTCTTAGGGAACTCTGACATCTGTCTACTCTGTTCTAATCTGGTAGTGATCTCTACTTTGATTAGCATCAGGAAAAGATTAAGCTCCTTACAGGTATCTGTTGAATCCATTGGTTTCTGGCAAAGTTCCTCTGCTCTTTCAACTAGCAGAATGCCCACTGCTCATTCTGGTCAACTGATGAGGCAAAATGTTCATCGTTCTTAGCACTAAAATCCCCCTGCAGTCCCATGTCAGTCTGTTGCCCCTCACACCATGTTAAAAATCTCATTCTCGTGCCCATCCTGGCTCTGATTCAGGAAGGTGGCTAGTTTATGTACATAGTAAGGTGTTTTTCTGAGTCAGGGCCATAAGACTTAAAACAAACTGAAATTAAAACCTGAGTCTTGTTTGCAGGGTCTTTTTTAAAATACCACCCTTCACTCTGGGATTGCTAAAAAAAATAAGGAAAGATATCCACAGACCAACATGAATTTTCAACCCAATACGTAGAAGAGAAGCATTTGCTCTCAGAAGTGATCTGAAAATATTCCGGAAATGGACCCACATTCCCAGTAATTTCTCCTGTGATCCATCTTCATTACACGCCTGCGCCTGCACTGCACAGCATGCTATCCAGCAGAGAGGCGGTGTGACTAGATCCATATCATGCAGCCAACATTTAAACGCAAAACACAGGCGTGTGCATGAGAGCGTGATCCAATTGAGCTGACAGTTAAAATGGCATGAGCGTGAAAATAATGATAAAAAATATATTCCGGAATCATGTCTGATACGGAGCAATTTAATCAGCGCCTTTCACACACAGAATGCACATTACCTGCTGTCTCTGGTAAGCAGAGAATGTTCTTTCAAGGTCGTTGAGATCTAGGATTTTAAACACTTTTGCATCATCGATGTCAGTCCACACGGTGCCTGCCAGCTTGTTCTGAAACACACCAATATTGTTAGATGGTAGGTTTCTTTATTGCAGCAAAATCAGTTGCTGCAAACGCTGCTAGCAAGTGGTGTGGTGTGTGGAGCCCACAGTTATATGAGTAGGCTGCACAGACCATGCAAAGGTCATGGGCTGGAGCGTGACTCTTCTCTCCTTTCTAGGAAAAGCTCTAAAATAATTTAACTGTCTGATCCACAATCCCCTTCAAAAGCAGTAAGTGCCTTCAAAAGCAGCAAGAGGCGTGTTAAACAGCCGGTGAGAACACAGGGCTTACCTCAGGCAGCTTAGACCAGTTGAAGGATTTGAGGGCGTTCGTCGGCTGTGGGATGTTTTTCTTTTTGAGGGCCAAGCCCAACGGTGCTCCAGGAGGTGGAGTTATCCCCCCGAGGGGAGGGGGCCCAGGTGGAGGGGGTGGACCACCGGGAGGGGGAGGTGGTGGAGGAGGGGGAACTCCACCAGGTAGAGGGGGCGGAGGAGGGGGAAGAAGGGCTCCCGGAGCCTGAGACGGTAAAGGTCCACCAGGTGCTCCAGGTGGCAGTGGGGGCCCTCCTGGAACGGGGGCGCAAATCGCCCTCTGAAAGAGAGAACGAGAACAGTTACAAAATGGAGCTACCGTCAATGCAGGAAACCCTTATGCACATTAACCTAGACCAGGTGCTGATCAGAGAGCTCTGCTAGCTAAGATGTACATCAAGAGTGGACACGTTCCAGTATAGGATGTCCTGCACTTCCTGCCAAAGGCCCAGGATGGGCCACTCAGATAGCTGCCATCATGGAAGATGCTGGATATTGAACTGGGGAACCTCACAAAAACCATGAGTCTCTACAGCTAGAGAGCCAGGCTCCACTGCTGTGTGTCGTAGCCAGCTGACAGTACAGAGCAGTGTTTCTTAAACTTTTTAAGACCGAGGAACATCAAACAATATTTTTATGGGGAACACCAAGGATTTTTTTTCTGAGGAAAAAAAAGAGCCCCTAGGGAAAAGGGGAGCCAAACCCCCCCCCCCAACAAAAAAAGGAGGCTTGTCCCTTTAAGGGCAGCCATTTTGAATTGTTCTCTCCACAGCACATGGCACTTCCAACTGCCTTGTGGCACACCCGTGTGCTGCGGAACACACTAAGAAAGTCTGGTATAGAGCATTGGGGTGGCCAAGGGCTTACATATCACCTTTTGATGCTTGTCCTAAGTACCAGAGGCCCCTAGCAGCATGAATCCCCAAGGAGTCCCTATTCAATCCCGGAGTCCCATCAGGAGGATGGGTGTAAATGAGGGACTTTCACTGCTGAAAGCACAAGTCTACACCTTCAGCTAAGGAGTCAGGCTAGTAGCTGGTAGCTGTAATAGAGTCTGAGTGGCAGTTGACCCAAAATGGGTTTCTGTGTAACAGCACATCCAACAAGCCCCCATGGGAGGCAGCCAAGGAACAAAGCAATAGCCATCAGCCTAAAAAGCCTCTTTTCATGAATAGTGTAAAGCCATTCCCCCTTCCACCACCAACTACAACCCTGATTTCTTGCAAACCTAGTTGGCCTTTCTTACACCCACCTCCGTTTTGTATCCAGAATTCTCCATCTGCATTCTCTTGTTTACTGCAGCACGAGACAATCAGGACTTTCACTGTAAATCGGAAGTCTGTAGCCAGCCCTTACCTGATTCAGTTCATGGAGCTGTGCTATGAGATCTGCCACCTGCTGCTTGGCTTGCTTGTGCTCTGTAGACTCCTTTTCGAGCTTCTCTTTCATCTTACTTAAGGCCTGCATCATCTCCTCCTTCTCTTGAGCCTTGGCATCGCATTCACGCTCCTTCTTCTCCAGTTTCTGCTGAAGCTCGTTGTGTTCTAATCCCCACGCCCCGCAAAAAAAGTTTCCATTAAGTCACTTTGAACTACACATTCTTCCTGATGGAAACATATGCATGCATGTGCGCGCATGCATGCATACAGTAAAATCCTCAATTTCTAAAGAAAAAGTAACCCAATTAACAAGGAAAAGGAAAGATTGCTGAGTCAACAGGACAAAGTAGGACCATTTACTTCCCACCTCTTGCAAAGGACATTAATCCCTTCTCAAACACAACAGCCACCACTAGCCACTGCACTGGGGGCACATTCACTTTCGAAAGAGGATATGCAAATGTAGCGTGAATTTGCATATTTTCTTCTGATTGCATTTTCGAAAGAGGATCTTTTGAAAATGAAAGTAGTCTCAACCCAGGAAGGAGGCGGGGGCTCTAAAAAACACTGTTTTGAAAAAGCCATGTAAACCTCCTTTTAAAAGAGTGGGGTTTTTTCGAAAAGGGTTCCCCCCCCCCCGAAAAAACTGCGTCCACACTACTTTCATTTTCGAAAGATCCTCTTTCGAAAATGCAATCGGAAGATATGCAAATTCACACTAAATTTGCATATCCTCTTTCGAAAGTGAAACCAAGTCTAGACGTACCCTTAGTGTGACTTGAAGACAGGTCATAGGCAGTAACAAGGAGCCCTGCGGTGCACTTTTTCTTTAAGCTGCACACAAACAGGGTGAAATCCTAGGCCAACTCAAGTCAATAGCAAAACTCCAACTGGTTTCAATAGTGCCCGGATTTCACTCTGTTTCTGAGAACAGCAGCTTTGGAGAGGCCAAGTGTCATGGACTCCCTCCCTGATGTGCAGATCAACCCTGACATTTCAAGCTTTTGTGCCTAATATTGTGGTCTAGGCTGCCCTGCCTTAATTGAGACCCCCCATTCAGCAAAGCTCTTAAGCATATGCTTAAGTCCCACAGATTTTAATGAGTTTAGGTGGCTAAAGATAAGTACTTTGTTGAATCAAGATAAGCCTCCCTGGTGGACTCGGGTGTCTCACAGGCACCCATCCTATTAATTCTGTTGTACACACCTAATCCAGTGTTGCAAGAACTAGCTGTGTTCACACAACCGGGCCAAGTTCCAACGAGAGGTTAACAACTGTGCACAACTGAATGGGAGGCACTGAGCTCTGGCTCACAGGCAGGGCTGCCACCCGGTTTTGCTGGGCCCTGGACAACATGGGGGAAGGGACGGGGTGTTTGGGAGCTGTGTGCCACTCCAGGCTCTGGTGGTGATTTAAAAGGTCCAGGGCTCTGGGCTGCTGCTGTAGTAATGTCAGTGGCAGATGGGATTCTGTTGCCCTTTTAAATTTCTGGGCCCCAAGGCAGCTGCCTCCTTTGCTGCCCTTCACTGAACTAAGGTCCCAGGGCATCAAAACAGTACAGCTGGGCAAGGAAATACAGGGACCATAAGAGCATGCTTGCTTTTGACTAGCAGAGCATTTAAAATGTATTTAATATATGTATCATATTGAAATTTTTTTATGCACTTAAACATTCCCCCCCCCACACACAAAAACAGCTTTTCAAGCAAAATTAAAAATTCTGCAGACAATTTTTATTGTGGTCTAAATATTCCATTTTTTCCACAAAAATTGGAAAAAGTGGGTTTCAATTTTCCATAATAAAACCAATGCATTTTCACTGGAAATAGACTCTCTTCCTCAAAGTTTCCTGTACAAAAATAATTTGGCATTTTTGACCGTTATGGATATAGCATATTTTTAACCTGGTTAGATGCACCACTCCTATGGACAAAGATCAGGGAAGACTCCATCTCTTTGGGTATGTATACAAAGATGCACCACTCCTATGGACAAAGATCAGGGAAGACTCCATCTCTTTGGGTATGTACACAAACATGCAGGCACACACACACACACACTTGGCCTTAACGTATGTATGTATTAGATTTAAATACTATTTGATCTTTTTCTCTCATTTACCTTTTCGCATTTTTTCTGCTTGCTCTTTCCACTGCTTAACTTCATTCTCATTAACTAACCTAAGAAGAACAGAAAAAGTAAGTTTAGGAAATCATCTAAGACAAAATAATATGAGAAGCAATAAACAAGATTAAAGTAAACCTGGGTATAGAGGGCAAAACAACATTTGCAAATTCTTGATGATTGCAAATCCCACATTGACTTCATTGGTGTTGAGAACACCTTCTATTTGCTTTCCATGAACATTCATTCACACTTGATACTTTGTTTGCCAAGTCTTTGCATGACCATCTTGAAAACTCTATGGGTTCTGGAGTCACTCAATGGGAAAGCAGAAATTACCTGAGGTCAATCTCCATACAAATAAATAAGGAATACTCGCAAGAATAGTAATGGGAAATAGCTCATTTACAATCCATAGGCTGAGCTTGGTTCATAAGCACATTTCATTGAGTTAGTTCAAACAAAAATTCCTAAATCTACCAGATAGAAGACACAAACAGGAATAATAAAATCATAGAATACTAGGACTGGAAGGGACCTTCAGAGGTCATCGAGTCCAGTCCCCTGCCCTCATGGCAGGACCAAATACTGTCTAGACCATCCCTGATAGACATTTATCTAACCTACCCTTAAATATCTCCAGAGATGGGGATTCCACAACCTCCCTGGGCAATTTATTCCAGTGTTTGACTATCCTGACAGTTAGGAAGTTTTTCCTGATGTCCAACCTAAACCTCCCTTGCTGCAGTTTAAGCCCATTGCTTCTTGTTCTATCCTCAGAGGCCAAGATGAACAAGTTTTCTCCCTCCTCCTTCTGACACCCTTTTAGATACCTGAAAACTTCTATCATGTCCCCCCTCAAATCTTCTCTTTTCTAATCTAAACAAACCCAGTTCTTTCAGCCTTCCTTCATAGGTCATGTTCTCTAGACCTTTAATCATTCTGGTTGCTCTTCTCTGGACCCTCTCCAATTTCTCCACATCTTTCTTGAAATGCGGTGCCCAGAACTGGACACAATATTCCAACTGAGGCCTAACCAGCGCAGAGTAGAGCGGAAGAATGACTTCTTGTGTCTTGCTCACAACACACCTGTTAATGCATCCCAGAATCATGTTTGCTTTCTTTCCAACAGCGTCACACTGCTGACTCATAGTCAACTTGTGGTCCACTATAAACCCCTAGATCCCTTTCTGCCATACTCCTTCCTAGACAGTCGCTTCCCATTCTGTTTGTGTGAAACTGATTGTTCCTTCCTAAGTGGAGCACTTTGCATTTGTCTTTATTAAACCTCATCCTGTTTACCTCAGACCATTTCTTCAATTTGTCCAGATCATTTTGAATTATGACCCCATCCTCCAAAGCAGTCACAACCCCTCCCAGCTTGGTATCATCTGCAAACTTAATAAGCGTACTTTCTGTGCCAATATCTAAATCATTGATGAAGATATGGAACAGAGCCGGTCCCAAAACAGGCCCCTGCGGAAACCCACTTGTTATACACTTCCAGGAGGACTGAGAACCATTAATAACTACTCTGAGTACTATTATGCAGCCAGTTATGCACCCACGCCCATCTAAGTTTTATTTGCCTCGTTTATTGATAAGACTATCATGCGAGACTGTATCAAATATCACTCCTCACAAATGGCATACCTTGCTCTACTTCAGACGTTTAAGAACAGGAGGATGACAAAGTAAAGTCTACTCTCAAGTGATTAAACACTAAGCTGTTTACAGGGAAACCAAGAGCAGATTGTTAAAACTGCCTTATGTGTGTGAATTAACCCAATCGCTTTAACAGATCACAGACACATTAACCCACAGCATTAGGATAACTACTGGTCACTTGAGCATACAGGTCACAAACAGGGGCATGCACTTACATCCGGACGACGTTTTTAATATTAAAGTTTTCCAAGGGAGTGGAGTCGGGGTCCTGCCCTTTGTCATTTTGGATGACGATTTGCTGTACAATCCTATCGAGCAGTAGCCAGTACTGGACAGTGTTGCCACTTCTTTTAACTACAAAGGGGGAGAAAAAAAAAGGCGGGGGGGGGGGGGAGGGTTGGAAGCAGCATCGAAGAGAACCACACACGCATGCATTTGTAAAAATAAAAGTTAATTTATTGTATGTCCAGAACCCCGCAGTGGAGATCAGGCTGCTGCTGTTAGGCATTAAACATACAGAGTTTCTGAAACAAACAACTTAAAATCCAAGGGCAGGCCAGCGAGCAGGCTGCAGACACTGCACACCCCGCTAGCGTGGGTATGAACAGCAGCAGGCAGTCAGGTGAGTAGAGACATGCTTGAATCTGAAGGCATATGCCCACCTACATGGCCAAGCACCGTCTCCCATGACTACTCTGTTATACTCTACTGTAGTTAGTCTGGTTTCCCGCTGCTGGGGCTCTTCCCTGCCACAGCCTGCTGGGAAGGACTCGGGTGGCAGAGAGGAGAGAAGGCTCTGGCGAGGGAAAGCTGCCAAAGCCTTTCCCAGCTGCAGCGAACAACTCTGGCAGCAGGGAAAGGGTCTGGCAACTCCCTGCTTCTGGAACCCCTCTTGGCAGTCTCCCCCCAACCAGAGCCCTCCTTGGCCGCAACAAGCTAGGCACCACCGAGTGTGGGCACGGACTGCCTTCTGCTGTGGCCTGTAGCTTGACTAACCAATATGTGTCACCAAAAGTGTAAAGACGACAGACAGGGAAAGGGACTTGACCAAGGCCACACAGTAGGTCAGTAGTAGAGTGAGGACTAGTGGTCACGCCTCCCAATTCCTAATCGAGCGATTTGCCAACTATAGCACTCCACCTCTCCCCATGCTAGCTTTAGTTTGCTACCGAAGATTAAAAAAATTAAAGGTGTCCACATTGCACTATACACTGTGCACAGTAACTGCTCTATTTCAGTTCCAGGAGAAATCAGAATTTTTCTGGCGGGGCTGAAACACAAAGCTGCATTCAACATCAATTCTGTGTGCCCTCTTGAAGGGCTACCAAAGGGTTTATCTTTTTTCTGGCGGGGCTGAAACACAAAGCTGCATGCAACATCAATACTGTGTGCCCTCTTGAAGATCTACCAAAGGGTTTATCAACTCACACGGCATTTGGAGACAGTGATGAAGAATAGACATAAAGTGCGGATACGCTTCTGTGTGAGTCAGCCTTTTCCTCGTCAGCTCAAACATCTGAGTGGCACTCTTCGTGTCTATGTGAACCTGCGGCACAAATTGAACTTGAAGGTAAAAAAACCAAACCCACCGAATCAATGATGCTACTTTGCATTTTTACAACCCTCCCAATGGCAGACCAACGAGGCAAAGAGAACTTGATCCAAGCCATTCAGTGCAAGACCACTGAGGAAGACTACAAGGACTACATCTAGAAAATACATGAATAAGCAAAGAGAAGGAACTTTTAGAGTACAAGCTGCCCTATGATCTGTCTACTTATATGGGTCGATCTCAGTATTTCAGTGCCTCAAACATCCTCAAAACACTTCCTGCTAGGTAAGAAAACAGTATCATTCCAATTTGTATTATGGGAGAAGAAACCAGGGCACAGGGCAGATTAACTGACTTGCTAAGGGTTGTACCAGGAGTTTGTAGCTGAGCTAGGGTCTTCTTAATCTCCACCCACTGCCCCCCCTGCTAAGCCGCCCTCTTCCATTCAAGAGTACTTTCCAAACATCAGCCAATATAGGCTGCAAACCTCTCTGATGCAAGCATTATCCCCATTTTACAGAGAGGATATAGAAGCAAAAAAGGGACAAGTGTCTTGCCCAGTATCAGTGCAGAATTCAGGCTCCCCCTCTCCCAGTTTTAACCAAAACCACCATATGCTGATTTCAAGCTAACATCAATATCTGCAGCAACAGGCAGCATACATACGAGTTCAAATCGTTTGGCAAATTCCAGTTCATCTTCATTTCTAAGCATTTCAAAAAAGTCTAAATGCCTGGAGGGGAAGAAAAACAGACACATTTGGAAAGCAGACATTTAAACCAGCACTTACATGGGAGACAAGAATAATCAACGGATTTGAAAGTTTCAAAATCAATATCTGGCAATGATTTTCTAGAGAATACCAGCAATATCTACAAATCCATAGGACTGTTAAAACAGTAATCGCAAAAATGTCAGGGTTATCAAAGTAAGGCCTGGCAGCTAAACACTTTAATATGCTTAAGAAAACCAGATCAAAATCTGGCTAAGGTGAACCATGGGAGTAATGTTCTCTCTCTCTTCCCTTTGGAAGAAGAAAAATGACACTGACAAACTAGGGGGGTGAAACTCACGAGGTCTAGGATACCACTTAAAATGTAAAATTAAGTGGGATTAAGAATAGGGTGGAGATAGACCCTTGTGCCTGCCCTCTGCACAAGGGTGAATTTTCCCCTAGATGTCTGATAAGTGTAAGTTTTCAATGGACATAACAATCCAGGTGTTGAGTAAAGCCCCATTAGCTTCAAGGTGGGTGTGGCCGACTTTTGCCAAACGTTATGCATACTACATGGATTTGGCTCTGAGATGGCTTGAGCCAAAGATTCTAAAGCTACAGGACCGTCACCCTGAGCATCGTGGGGGAATCCTTAAAAACAGGAAGCAGATGCACAAGACTAGGATAAATGCAGCAGATGAGTTGCAAGTTATCGAATGGTTTTCCTCACCTGTCTAACGTTGAATTTTCATGCTCTCTTAGTTTGTCAATGACAGGCTGAATTCCTAGCATTAGAAATTCGTATCTAAGGTGGAGTCTGAAATCCAGACTTTCCTGAAAAGAAAAGGCAAAGGGTGAGCATTGTAAGGAGTGGCCTCACAAAAACGCTAGTTCAAAGAGCCTCTCTAAAGAGCGGCACACAACTTACCACGCCCGCGCCCTGGCTCAGGACCGCGTTAATGAAGGACATGATGGCTGTCTTTAGGTTCACTTCATCTCGGTATCTTCCTGTGCTTTTGTCCAAATCATTAATCAGCATCTGCCAAACAGATCACAGGTATGCCACAGCGTGACCAAATGCATCTCAGAAACCACAAGCCACGGAGATCTAAATGACTCATTTGCGGGCTCCCAGAAATCTCATGAGCCTCATGCACTTCTGACAGCGGTAACCCATGTATAGGGCTCAAATGGCTAGACGCTTCCACAGCTGTCTAGTGCCACTTAACAGTCCCTGCCTCGTCACACACTACGACGTACTGTCAAATTGCTACCTATTTCTAGTGCCACTTAACAGTCCCTGCCTCATCACACACTACGACGTACTGTCAAATTACTACTTATCTTCCAGGGGTGTTACAGGCCGGGAGCTTTAAGACTCCGGTTGCTCTGCAAAAGCAAGCTAGTTTGTTTCCTTATAAACCAGTAACTCTGATATTCAGTGGAATTTAGCTTGCAGGACAGCGGGGATTTTCAGGCTCCACAGCTACACCCAGCCTCTGCCAGGCAAGACAAGGGGATGCTGGGGAGAGCTCCAGCTGCAATTCCCTGGTTTTCTTCTCAGCTCCGACTCATGCTAGAGCAGCCCTAAGCTGCTCTATCTGGCAATGGTCCCCAAAGGGCTATCCCTGGCTGAAGACTGGCAGAGGGCACTGGGCCCTGGCCTCACCCACTAGCTCTGTGACCCTTAAGAAGGAGGTGCAGCCTCTAAGTTGATTGTGGCTTGCATCTGGTTTCCAATCAAGTAGCATACAGGGGGCAGAGCAGGGCAGAGACTCTTCCTGTTTTGAATGCTGGGTAACGTGAGTGTAGGAGTTCTCGAAGCATGAGAAGGAAACAAAGACCACGTACCTGAAAGCGAGTCCTTTCGCTGGCGTATTTCTGGTAATGCAGCATGGCCTCCAATACCTTTTTGTGACCTCCAGGAACCAGGCACACAGCGCCCAGGATTTCCAGCACTGCCACCTTTGTCTTTATGTTCTCGGTGCTCAGACTCTGAGCAATGACGTTAATACTCTCCGGATGGGCCAGGACATGAGCCCGTCCTTGAGAGTTGTTCATTAGTGCTTTTATACACCCAATGAGAGAGGTATGTATCCGAGACTCAGAGGTCTCGTAGTCCATGGTTTTCAAAAAGTTCAGAATACAGGTCAAGCCGTCCAGGTCGATAAATCTGGTTACAAACCTGCCACAAAGAGGAGCACGTTAAAACCTGGCGTCATGCACTAGACGGACATGCATTTTTCAAAATTACAGGAGAATTGTAAGTATTTTTCTGGAACAGACTTTAAAAAGCAGGACTGATCGAAGCTTTTTAGAAATACAGGTTAAAGGGACATAAAAAGTCTACCCAATAGAAAGAATTGATCTATACATTGAAATAGTACCAGTTTCTGGAGCACAAACAACTGGAAACTATTTGGGAATTGGCTTGTCGTGTGCCAGGAAATGCGTACGGAGGGATGGTATCCAGTTAGCCACACTGGTTTAAGCCACCCTCCTGCGAGATAGTATCTCTGTACTGGGGTGGTTTGCAGTCATGGGTGGCAGGTATCAGACAGGGGCAGGCAATGCCTTCCTAAATTGCCAACCTGGCCCCACCCACACTTTGCCCCCAGCCCATCTACCCTCCAGTCTCCCAGGGCTGCCTGGGCTTCAGCTGCGCCAAGGTTGGGGCTGCCTGCCCTCCCTGTGCTCCGAGGCTGGGGCCACATGCCAACCATTGGGGGAGGCTGGGGCCTGCCTCTACGGTGGGAGGGCGGGCTTATATGACATATGGGACCTCAAGCAGCAGGGTCAGGGCTAGGGGCTTGGTGTCCCCAGCCCTGGGTTCACCCACCGCCCATGTTTGCAGTGGTGCTACACTGCTGTAACATCTGGCCTCCCATGGGAGCTGAGAGTCATGCCAGGCCCCTGGGCAAGGTGGAGGAGAGGGGGACACCTCCATGCTCCTGGAAGGGGTGGAGCCTTGGAAAGGAGGGGCTGGGCCGGGCCAGGGCAGCCAGCCCTCAATGCCACCCGGAGCGCACCATGCCAGCCCCCACAAGCCCTTCTAGTCGCCCGGATTGTACCACACGGTGCTTCAACAGTGACAAAGGGCCCAGAGCTCTGGGTCCCGCTGCTGCCAGGAGCCCTGGGCCCTTTAGAATCGCCGTTAGATTTATGACAACTCAGGGCGCTTCCAAATATAGCCTAAAAAAGTGAGATGCAACAGGTCCCTGCATGGATTCAGTAGATTACGGAGGTTGCATTATGATCCAGGCTGCCTGAGAACATTTGTTAATACATTCAGCTGATGCTGGGTGTGCAGGTGTGTTCTCTCCTGGCAGAAGGCACCTGCCGAGTGGGAGAATGTTGTCAATCCCAGCGTACGGTACCAGACAGTGGTAGGGACACAGCAGCAAAAGGGTTAATCACAATCTCAGGGCTTATCTAGATGGCAGGTCAGTGCAGGGCAGCTGGGGAGGAATCAACACCACACGCTAGCTTGCTGCGCACACGTTGGCTCTTTGGACTCTGCTACAGGGCACTCAAAGTGCCCAGATGCACTTTGAAGCAGGAGTGGTTCAGAGCAGAGCAAAGCATGTGGTCACGCATGGCAAGCTAGTGTACTGCAGATTTACACCCTGGCTTGCCTCACACCACCAGCAGTCCTCCGGAAGAGGCAATTGGATACTCCCAGGTCACCTCACTCTCCAGCTGCTTTTGCCACCGGCTTCAGCGCTCATTTCAGTGGGAGCGAATGCATCCCCAAGGGTGCATCACATTGACTGGGGAGACCCCTAAAAATCACTTGGGCAACCACGGAAGCATTTTGCCCAAAATCTGAGACTAGGATTTTCAAAAGTACCTCGAACCCCCAGGATTTCAGTGGGAATTAGATGCCTTATGCCTTAGTTCCACCCCACACCTCTTGGTGATACATCCCGCACACTGTTTGTTTCACGGCCTATTTTTTGAACTGTGAAGTGGATACTTTAGGGAGCCACGTTTGCAGCACTTTTCATATTTAGAGGGACACCCCAGGAAGAAGATATGGAAGTCGGTTTAAAATGTCCCAACACAAAAAGTTTTCTGCCATAAAATACTGATTCTGTGAAATCTAAAGGGCTGGCAGGCTGATTTCAGCAAAATTTTGTTTAGAAAGGGGGGGGGGGAACCCCAACATGAAGCATTTCAATTCTTTCCCCCAAAAATAACTTTCAGGGTTTCTGTTTATCTATTTTAGCAAAATACAAAATGACTCAAAACCAAAACAGAAGGTTTTGATTGACCCAAAACAATGTTTTTCCTCAAAACTTTCAAGGGAAATTTCCATTTTCAGGGTTCCATTCCAAAGTGGAGTGACACTAAATTTCAGCAGAACAGAATCTCCTATTAAATGCCCCAATTTACAGTTGAGGAAGCCGAGGGGCTGGTGGCCCTGTAAATCAGTGTTTAAGCTGAGACTGCAGTTCAGCGGTTCACAGCTAAAAGCCTCATGTTCAGCACTGACTATGCGTCTCGTCTACCAATAATATAAACAGATATTTCTATTTTAAGATTCCCATGTTGGAAAACCTGGCAATAAAGCATGAAAAAAGAAAATAACCTCATTGGTTTTGTCCTTAGTGCTGTCTTCAAACTCTCTATTGTTTTATTTCTCTCCTCCTCATCTTCTTTTTCCAAAGCTATCAGCGATTTTCTCTGCAAATGGAGAAAGGCAGATTTAAACAACAGGGTTCAGCTCTCTGTCAGCAGAGTAAATACATAATTACAGTAAGGGGCACAACAATAGCAGAATTGACCTTTGTTTTATTCTACAACTTCTATCACAGAGGTCAATGAAGAGACAGAGCTAACAATCTTCAAACTGTGTGTGCAGGAATATTCCAGGAGGAAATATTTGTTTATACTAAGAATTCTTAAGAAAGGAATCGAGAATAAGGCAGAGAATATCTTATTGCTTCTATATAAATCCACGATACTCCCACATCTTGAATGCTGTGCACAGATGTGATCTCCTCATCTCGAAAAAGATATCTTGGCATTGGAAAATGTTTAGGAAAGGGCAACAGAAACAATTAGGGGTTTGGAGGCCAAATGAGGAGAGGTTAATAAGACTGGAATTCTTCAGCTTGCAAAAAGAGATGACTAAGGGAGGATAGGATACACTTTGGCAATTCAGTGGCGTAACTAGAACTGCATAATGTGCTGCCAGAGTGCCTGTAGTGTAAACAGGGCCATAAGCATTTAGGAGTCTAAGTCAATTGAGTGTCATTGGAACTTAGATTGTCAAAAGTGCCTTACTCATACATCTCTCTTCATTGTCACAGATGAGCAGGATAAGGTCCATAATGATTAATATTCTCTAGAAAGTAGAGCAGCTACAGTAATATTATGTCACTTGTTAGGGCTCCAATTTTCAAATTTTGGTGCAAAAAGTTAAAGACCTGAATCTATGTAGACAATTAAATACAGATTGCAGGCACCTAAGTGCAGATTTAGAGGCCTAAAATCAACACCTGGGTACATGATAGAGGGCAAAATTCCCCTCCCCCACCCCAATAGTAAGTGTCAAGAGGGGAGGAAAGTGCCATGAGGTTCAATGTGGAGATTTCTCCCTCCCGTGCGCTGCGCGTGGGGCCGGCCCAGGTTGTCGGTGAGCGCGGCCAAATGCCCCGGCAGGAGCCATGGCGCCCGCGGGCACCGCGTTGGGGACCACTGGTCTAGAGTATTTGGTCCTGCCATGAGGACAGGTGACTGGACTCAACCTCTCGAAGTCCCTTCCAGTCCTAGTATTCTATGATAAGGATCTATAAAATCATGACTTGAGTGGAGAAAGTGAATAAAGAAGAGCTACTGAGGACTTGGCCTTCCCATAACTCAATAACTAAGGAGGGGGGCACCAAATGAAGTTAATGGGTAGCAAGTTTAAAAACAACAAAGGAAGTACTTCACAACACAGTCAACCTGTGGAACTCCTTGCCAGAGGATATTGTGAAGACCAAGACTATAAAAGGGCTCAAAAAGGAACCAGATAAGTACATAGAGCATAGGTTAAGCCATGGCTATTAGCCAGGATGGGCAGGGATAGCATCCTTAGCCTGTTTGACAGAAGCTAGGAATGGGCGATGGGGGACAGAGCACTTACCTGTTCTGTTCATTCTATCTGGAGGGACCAGAAGTCTATTGTGCCAGGTGTTCTACAGGCACTGAGCAATAAGACAGCCCTTGGCTCCAAAGAGCTCAGATTCCCCCTCTATCTGCTAGCCAGGAGGAACTTCATTCCGAACTTGGCAATTTACGGAGGCAGTCCCGCAGGGGGAGGGAGGGAGCTATGCGACACTCAATGGTGGGGCAGTGGATGGCAGAGGGTCCAGAAAATGCATGCCACCAGAAGCCAGCCTGTCTGCCTGGCGGCAAAGCTCCAATGGAGCCGCCTACACACTCTGGGAGGGAAGGGGAGGGGGGTTGCCATACTATGTAAGGAGCAATAGCAGTGCATGGAGCCATTTCTTGGTCACTTTTTTGGCTTTCCGGGACATACGGTCAGCATAGATCTGTCGGGGAGGCTCGCGTGCCAGTGAAAATCGGCTTGCATGCCATGTGCCATAAGTTGCCGATCCCTGGTCCACACCACGACTCACTGGCTTGTCCCCATCGTTGGACCCCTGGATTGTGTTTCCAAACAGAAGGAAATGGAGATCAAGGAGATGCCAAGCAAAGGCGAACAAAAAAAATATATAACCCAGGCGGTTGCATTTTTTAATTGTTATTGCTTCTGCTCAAGCTCCCTGCTGCTTGGTGATGCAATCGGACAGCTGTCACCACAACGCTACAGAGGAGGAAGCTGCCCTGCAGAAATGTCTAATGGATGATGTCACCGCTCCATGAGAGCAATCCACTGTAAAATTCAACTGAAATTCAGTGGGGTCCATTTGATCTCCTCCAACACAGCTGAGGTGTTTGAAATTGCAGCAAGGGAAGTTTAGGTTGGACATTAGGAAGAATTTGCTGTCAGGATGGCTAAACAAGGAGGTTACCTAAGGAGGTTGTGGAATCTCCATCAGTGGAGGTATAAGAGCAGGTTAGACAGACATCAGGGATGGGTCTAGACTGGGGTGGCCAGCCCGTTTAACAGTGCGCGCCAAAACAGTGCCAGAAAAAATGTGAAGAGCCGCAATAGAATCGCAAAGGGAAAAAAAGCACCCCCAGAACAAAACTGTCGAGCAAAAACAAACACAAAAATTGTAAAAAATGTTTTTAAAAAAGGAGTCTGCCCCTTTAAGACAGCCGCCACCTTGGGTGCCATTTTTAAAACCCCACAGCTCTGACCTAGTAAGCACAGGGAAGCTAGAAGCTGGGGGGAGCCAGCGGGGGCCTTTGGGGGGGCGGGCAGGAGTGGTTTCGCGAGCCACGCTTCTGGGGGGCAAGAGCCACATGCGGGTTGGCCATGGCTGGTCTAGAACGGTACTGGGTCCTGCCATTAGGGCAGGGGGACTGGATTCCATGACCTCTGGAGGTCCCTTCCAGTTCTAGGATTGATTCTATGATCGACCCCAGGCCAAAGACTACTGAGGCATTTCTGACCCCATAGCCCAGTGCCCATATCTGAGGAACACCAATCCATGGTTTATCCACACGAGGCTTATTGAGCTGTGGGGGAAAAAAAATCAAATACACAGGCAAAGCGACTGAGGCGTGTCCGACTGGCAGCAACTCAGGAACAAATCCAGGCATTTGCCCGTTTCAGCAGGGAGAGAAAGGGATTTTCATCCAGGGGAGACTGTGGCTTGTTGAGAATTCTCATTTACTCCGGGAAAGGGGGAAAATTCCACATATTGAGGAGCACCAGCCCTGGCTAACTCTCAAAGAGCAACCAAGTTGCCCACTGTTCAGCCAGGCTGTCACCAAAACAGGGCCCAAAGGCGCTCTCAGACCCAGAGGGACACCACAGACACCACCGTGTGGTGGCTTTAAAGCAAGCACATTAAGGAAGTCCTGCCTGAGAGGGGCCTGCCTCTCTCCGATCTAGGTTGGAGCACACAGCCTTCACCCTGCCCTCACGCGAGGCAATGGGAAAACTCCCATTATTACAACATCAGAAGTTGAATAGGGCCAACACGGAGCAACGACAAAGACTTGATTTCCCAACATTTCTGAGGACACTCATGAGGCCGGAAGGGAGGAAATGCTGATACAGCAGGGAGTTTGTACATTAGTCAGTAGACACAGAAACAATCAAGAACCCGTGAACTGTGCAGCAGGTTCACATAGACTTTCGGGAAGATTAATACAGCCAGCGCATTGTCCTGTTTCACCAGGCCATGGGGTGGGAACGGAGCCTGCCTGGCCGTTCTGTGGAAGTGCCAGGCAAAGCCATAGCGTGAGCTAACAGGGCAGGACACAGCTAGGGTTGCCAGATGGTTTAACCAAAAAAAACAAACATGCCCCCCCCCACCCTCTCCTCCCCCAAAAAAAACACCAGGGAAAAAATTCTGGTGGGGGCGGGGGGAAGGGAGGGAGACCAAAGTTGTTGAGAAAAAAAAAGACTGAGTTAAGAAAAAAAATTAAAAAATAAAACTGCATGGCCCCTTTCAGAATGCGTGCAGGGTCAGAATAGGGATAGGAACACGGAAACGGTTGAGCACTAAGACCCAGGGAAGGCATTGCTTCCCCTTGGTCTTTAGGCTTTTTTGCTGGCAGCCATTTTGTTTTCTTGATCAAGCCAGAACGCAGCTTCCCTGCAGAACCAAGTAAGCAGAGGGTTGGGAGGCGGAGGGGTGTATGGCCCCTTTCAGAATGCGTGCAGGGTCAGAATAGGGATAGGAACACGGAAACGGTTGAGCACTAAGACCCAGGGAAGGCATTGCTTCCCCTTGGTCTTTAGGCTTTTTTGCTGGCAGCCATTTTGTTTTCTTGATCAAGCCAGAACGCAGCTTCCCTGCAGAACCAAGTAAGCAGAGGGTTGGGAGGCGGAGGGGTGTGTTGGGAACCTCATTGTGTTTTCTTGACCAAGCCAGAACGCAGCTTCCCTGCAGAACCAAGTAAGCAGAGGGTCGGGAGGCGGAGGGGTGTGTCGGGAACCTGGGGCGGGGGAGGGGAGGGAGCCTGGGGGTTGGGCCCAGTTGCTGAGTGTGATGTACGATTGCCAGGTGTCTGGAATTTTTACCTCCTGTCCAGTAAAAACCAGAACATACCGGACATTTTAGGTGTCCGGTATTTTCTGAATTTACCGGACAGAAGGCAAAAATACCGGACTGTCCGGGTCAATACCGGACACCTGGCAACCCTAGACACAGCTGGAGTTCTAGACAGCTAGGAATGTGTGGGGATCAGTGTAGACTTTCACCGGTAGATCTGGGTGAACACGTGCATAGGTAACTTGACCTCACCTCTCCACTCCAGCCAGGCTTGACAGCAGCAGCTGCTCCAGATCCTCTGACGGCAATGGTTCAACATCAGAGTACGGCTTGAACAGGCGGGGGATAACCAGAATGGCCAACGTGCAACTGGAGTTGCAGCTAGCCAAGGATGCGAAGGATAACAAGAAGGGTGTCTAGCAACAAGAAACAGGTCAGGGAAAGTGGGGGACCCTTCCTGAATGGGGAAGGCATCCTAGTAACAGGGGAAACAGGTCAGGGAAAGTGGGGGACCCTTCCTGAATTGGAAAGGCATCCTAGTAACAGGGGATGTGGGAAAAG